GGCCGCAGCAGGAACCCCCAGCTGTGGGGATGGCAGGATGCACAGCACTCAGCTCTACCAAGCAAATTAAAAACCAGCACCAAAAAGCCCACGGAGAGATAATGTGAAGGGCAGCAGGCGACCTCTGCTGAGGAGGGACCGGAGCAGCAGCAGCCGCTGAGGTCCTGAACCCCGAGGAGATCCCGGGAACAAAAGGCACACGCACTCAGAGGCACCAGGGAAGCCCCGAGCACGGGTTTCCCGAGGCACCGCAGCACCCTGACCCCGCACACCCCGAGGCGGCAGCACAGCCCAGGCACCCACCCTGCCCTTCTCCTGCCCCCCCGCTTCCCAACCCTGAGCTCAGCAGGGTCCCACTCGCCCTGCCACTGGGGCAGGATGCGGGTCAGTCCGGTGCTGCCTCCTGCTCAGAGCCGGGTGCTCAGGGAAGTGACCCCAAGCATCCCCCCAGCACCGGGGCCCTTCCCCTCGCCGTGACGCGGCGCTGGTCCCAGTCTTGCCAAGGGATCTTTATCTGTCTCTTCCCCTTCCAGCTTCTCCATCCCCGCCAGCCACCCCCGCAGGGTCCCAGGGGGGCTTTTCTCTCCAGACCGTGCCCAGCACCGCAGAGGTGCAGGCGGGGGATGCCGCGAGTCACCGGCATCTCCGGGCTGGGCAACAAAAATCAATACAAAATCATCCCTAAAGCAATGAAATTCAGTCCTTGCGAGCACAGAGCCCCACAGCCTCTCGAGGAGGGCTGAGCGCAGCCCCCGGGAGCAGTTCTGCTCTCTCTCCACACAACTTCAGGCAGGGAGAGCCCCAAAGGGACCTGCACGTCCATCCCTCCATCTCCAGCTGCCGGCAGCGGGGGCACCGAGGGAGGGACCCCCCAGACCACCCCAATTCCCACCCTTTCACCCCATCTCGCAGCCCGGCCGAGCCTGGCCAGGAGCAGGGGGATCCCGCACACCACTTTTTCAAGCTGCCAGGCAGAAGAATCCCAGTCTTTCCAAGGGAGTGTCGGTAAATCATCGTTACATCCGACAACGCAACCAGAGGGGTTAACCCTTTGCTAGCCCCCAGCAAAAAAAAACAACAACAACCACCCCCACCCACCGAACAATGAAAACACTCAAAGCTGGTCCCGCCTGGGGGAGAAAGACCACGGGGCAAGGCGAGTGCTGAAGGTGTTGTTTGTTTGTTTGTTTGTTTGTTTGACACTTCAGAAGGTTTGTAGGCAGAAAGAAGCACCGGTGCGCCCGTGTGTCCCGCGGGCACGGGGGGAAGGAGCCGCCACGCACCCGCCTGTCCCGCAGCCCGAGCCCCGCAGGACCGCGCCGGGGGGGCTCCAGGTACTC